TTAATGGTTTATCGGTGTTTATTAAAAATGCATTACATGGAGTGTAGTGATAACTCTCGAATTATCACATCACATGAAAAGAACGGTTTTGCTAAAATATCTAAAAATTTAGCTAGATACAGATCTGAAGATATAATTTCGTTCAGACTCATCAAAATAATTATGTAGAACGCTTAAAATAGTTATTAGAATGTCAAAAAGTATTGTCATCAATGCTTAAACGTTCTACATACAATTATTTTGATAATAAAATTATTTTCATATCTATCTAAATTTTTCGAACTTCAGCAAAATCATCCTTTCCGATCAATTCGATTGTTTTAATTCTTTTGTCAAGGCATAATTTTTTTCACCTTTTCACTATTGTGTTCCACAAGATTTCCGCAAAAAATATAAAGTGAAGAGAAAAAGATAAAGATAAAATTGTCCTTTGTTATCCGAAGGGGTTCTTAAAATGTCATAATAAAATTTGCACAAAAAAATAAATTTTTATTGTTTAAAAAATGATGTATAGGTACCCGAGTATTCGTACCTTGACAGAAGGGTTGAATTATTGCAAAGTGATATAATTAAATTTAATTAAAAACGCCGATTAGAATGCCACTTAACAGAGTACAGGAATACCTCCATCCGATTAGACGTCGGTTAGACGCAACCTGACCTAGACCGATACTTACGCGGGTGCGAAGGGATGTAGGGCCGTAGCCGCAGCTGCAGCTGCAAGTTGCCCCGGATTCCTGGCCAGTGCCAAAGCGGCCGCGCTGGTTGGGAAAGTCGCCCTCGCTGCCCCTACTCGACCACGTTGTATGGCAACTCCTCTAAGTGCCGCTGCTGTAACAATACACACGCGACACGCGCGCACATGCACAATTACTCAAGATTGCCTACCTTGAAGACTTATGTTGCTATCGAACACTCCGTGGAATTCCAGGTTGCTCTTCGAGGAACCGCGGCGCACATCGACAGCCGGCGAGACGAGGTTTGCGATTTGATTTTATATCCGGTTATGAGACTTAGAAACGATATGCCTGGGAATTAATTCGTCGAACATTTCACTGTTGCGAAGGAATTTGTGGAGTAATAATTTCTTGAACATCTAGAAAACTTTTATTCGCCGATCGATATATTCGACAAACTCGAACAAGTACAATAATGTGAGATAGTTTTCTCTTTTTTTTTTCATTTGTGGAATATATCGCATCCTCATTATTTTTTAATAACAAATTTTTTGATGAAATTCTAATTAATTTTTCCTTTCCAGAAATTTAATAAAAAAAGTCGTACTTTTTATTTATAATTTAAATATTTATAATTCGTATTAATTTATAAATTAATACGTAAATCTCATTTTTTAGAAATTAAATTAATCGTTTAATTAATTATATTAATAATTTAAAACATTTTTACAATGTAATAAATTGTATAAAATTGAAGTTCTTTAACTTCTATTATTAAATAAATTCAAAATTAGCCAATATGGATGAAAATTTAATAATGAGGTGCCTATAAAATAATAAAGAAAGGAAGGAAAAAGTAAACTGGCTGTAATTGGAATAGAAGATCCTTCTTTTTAAAGTGCTTATAGCACAATGTAAAAAAACAAGTACGATTCACTAACAAACGTATCTGACCCTGCCAGCGAAGAGAAAGCTTTCGATCTAAGAGAAGCTGCGGTACGAGCAGGAAATTTTGTTCTTCCTATCAAAGATTGGCTTTGGAGAATTGCGCCCAAGAAGTAAATACGAACATCAGAAAACACCGGAGAATCTCGCGGCGTAAGAAAAGAAAGGATGTGGCAGAGCGCAGAGAACTTCAGAAAATCGAAAATAGGAAAGTTCACTTCCTCCACTCTGCTTGTATTTGACATTCAGGAATAGCTTGAAAGGAAAGAAACGACTACGAAACTTCGCGAAACGAAATTCATCTAGAAGAAATGACTGCTTTACGAGTAGATAGATTTTCGGTGCGTTTTATCGTTATTTGCGATCTATTCACAAAAGGTCGCTACAATTTCCTTCAACAGATAACGTAAATAGAAGGACGATTTTCCGCGAGTGGAAAAATTCACACGCCTTGAAGTGAAGCTTGCGTGATCGGTGTGAAATCCTCGAAGTTTTGACGAAAAATGGTGTCAGAAGCTAGTCTGGCAGACTTCGAAGAATTGAGATTTCGCGAATTTATCAAAATTAAACAAGAATAAGAAAATAAAAAAAACTCTCGAAGATTGCAACGCCAAATGTAAAGATTTAGGCAGCAGCCGAAAGATCAATATTACTGTACAATATTATATATTGATGCATGGAGGCTATATTGAAAAGCCTCCGACTCAGGATTGTAACAAATTTCTCATCCTAAAAATCTGATTTCCAAATAAAATTTCACAATTTTTCCTGAATCTTTCAGTAATATTTTTAAATTGTTTGCATTTTCGTCCTGATTTGAAAATCGTCAAATTTTATTGAAAGAATAACAATATTAATTACTATTAATGTTGCTGACAGTGCTTGCATTTAATTATTAATTGGTAGTATTCCAAACAGTGTAGTATAATGTATGCAAATTGTTTTGAAACCAGCAATTTTAATGCTCTTAAAAATTTTGATAATTCCTTGATTTTTCCTTGATTTTCCTAACTGTTATCAATTTCCCTAATATTTTCCTAATTTATATTTTTATAATAATCTGCGACTGTTTGTTTCGAATTGTTTAAAGGGAGGGATTAGTAATATTGTACAAATTAATTATACAATAATATTGAGCGTCGTGCGGCAGCTTAAGATTATTCTGTAAAGTTGAGCTTGTTTGGTTTCTACAGAGATTTTCGAAGGGAATTTTTCCGATGGAGTTGAATAGACGGTGACGTGGATGTCACGATTCGATCCGTCCACATTGTGTAGCAGCTGCCGGTTGCATGATCGACGCCAGCCTTCGTAAGGGGAAGAAAGACCACGGATACGCGCAGTTCCGGAAGCTGACGATGCACAACGGTGGCTGCAGGGCTTTCTCGCTCGGTGATGCATTTCAGATTCGTGGCAGTGAACTTTCGCTCGGTAAATTTCAATTGAGATTGTGGAATATTAATCAATCCTTATATTTCGAAGAGGAAATATATCGAGACTCTATTATCAGCAATCTCATAGATTACAAAACGATGAAGAATTGCACTCGGAAGACGATAAAAAAAAAAACGAATAAAATAATGCTCCTTGATTTGAGATACTTATAAAATAAAAATATTACTTCTCTAAATAATAGAAAATTATTCTCAAAATTGCAGAGATATAAAAAGGATTAAATCAAAGATATTACAACTAGATCATTAGATCTAATTATCTATATTATTAGATAAGAACATCAATTTGCCAGAAAATAGATAATTTATCGGGCTATGATATGATGAATTACACTTCTGAGATATTTCTTAATTTACGTTTTGAGCATTAATAGATGATGTAATCGAAAGAATCATATGGATAACCCTGGATGGATGGATAGTGACTTTAATGAATTGCCGTTGTATTGACGGCAACGACAAACGACGTTGAGTTATCGACATATTTGACAAGAAAAAAAAGTTGGAAAAACAAACTCGGCGCGATGAGAAGAATCCTTTTTATCTCCGGCTGGTCCAAGATGGAGCAATAAAATCTAACGATTCTGCCTACCTTTTCATCGGCACCAAGTCATCTCGTTCGGATCAGCTGCTGATGGAGCGATTTAACAAGTGCTTTCTCATTTATATATATGGTTCACCTCGAAAAATTCACCTTGAAGAGAATAAAGTTTGTTAAAGAAATGAATCTTTTGATTCCTTAAAAAACTAAATGATATAAACATTTTTGTATTGTAATCTACTTATATTTATACGTTACTGATTGTACAGTATACATATATTTAAAATAAAATCCATATTACTGAACAACGAAATTTTTCACTTAGAAAATTTAATCGTGAAATTGTAAATAAAATGCCGTTACATAAACTTACTTCTTCAACATTTAAAAAAAAAAAAAAAAAAAAAAAATACAACGATCGTGAAAATATATCTCTTCAAAGTTCTGAATAATCAAAATTACATCGAAAGTATAACAAACATATGCACTGTTGTTAGACTAGTGGGTTCAATTACATGAGCAGCACATCAACAGCATCCTCAACAGACAACTACTGTGCAGGTAACGCGCGTGATGTTAGCGCAAATCAAAATGTAAGTTAACGATCAACGACGAGGGGTTGGTTAATAAGTCGGCTTGATCGCCGGTTATCTAAAGGCGGGTCAAGAACAAGAGCGTGATGCATAAAATAGCAGGCGCATTCCAAAAAGAGGAAGTGTGGTTTGTGTGTAAGGGGCCGATGTTTACAACTGCATGAACTCCATTTTCCTACAGGCTCGCGTGATCTGTGGCACAGAAGCGTAATCACATTGTTTATTAACATTGCCGGCGTAAATATATACATTCTATAGATTTTAGTCGTATCTTCATTTATTAAAACACAGTTTTAGTTCTACAAAATAATATTCTGCAAATTTTTTTATTTAAAAGAAATATTTTTTTTATTTTATTGTAAATGACTTTTTTGATAGTCTGTTACGTCAATTCTTCTGTGTCAATTTTCTGAAAATATCGATATAGTGCATTGCTGTCATTTTGTCCTAGTTCATACGATATAATAGTTTATCGCAATCCGTTTTCGAAATTCATGTTTTACTCTACATCAAAATAAACGAGGGACATATTTTTGGGGAAAAAAAAAAAAAAAAAAATTCGTACATACGACACTGATATTTCGAGAATGCAACATACACGACGACCGACCATTCGATTCATTTTGAATATGAATTTAAAAGCCAACCATGCTGAACGCGATTGCTGTCTTCGGCCAAATTTTACGAGTGCGTGTGACACGCCAATTAGTGGCTATTAATTAATCGACTGTGCACGCTGTGGCAGATCGTCCGCAGACACGCCGCGCGGCGCCGGTCCGGAGGAAATCCAAATTTATGGAAATACGATCCGCCGATAACACGAGCCAACGAAGAGTAGAGAGATTACACTCGCGAACAATGAAAAAGTTAAATGCGCCATCGCCATCCTTTAATTGGCTTGCTTGTCTCTTATTCGAAATCGTACGTTACGTTAGCGCCATCAATAATTTTTGCGATAACGAAAATTTCCCGTTGAATCGCACGTTGTAAATTCCGTGTAAACAAATGGACTTTTCGTCGGAACGCAAATTTAATTGAAAACCAATGAGCTTACGAATTAAATATTAACCCATTGCTGCCGCGAAGTAAAACGTTTCCATCTCGTATGTATTATATTTTGATTCATTTGCATTTGCGCGCGTGATAAATATGTAAAAGCAAATTGTTACACGACATAAATAAATTTTTCATGGCTCGATAGAAATTGCCTAATTTTTTAAAATACATTATGGTGACTTTCTTAAAAACAACTTTAATTATTATAAAAATGTCTTAATTATTATAATTTAATTATTAAAAACACGATCTAATTTAATTATTATATTCTTATAATTTTAATTTTCTTTAACATTAATTTTCTTTAACATTATTGTAACATTCATATTGAAAACTAATAATTTGTTGTCGATTTTATCATATATTAATTTTGCTTTAAAATGTAGTTATAAGAAATGTTAGTAGAAATCCATGCGATTATTTCCGGCCACAGATCGATCACCGCTGAGAGCTCCCTAAACATCCGATCGAATTTGACTAATTAGGCGGAAAACATCGATATATATAATGCGTGCCCTCAAGAAAGAAACGATATACATATATTATATATACACATGTATAATAGAGG